TGGTTTCACCGGTCTATGGAGGTGGCATTAAAGATTTCAGCTATTCCGAAGTTGGTAAGGTCTCTGCGAGTTGGACCGTATGGCGAACATTCAATTTTGTTTGTAGGTTTCATTCTAATCACAACACAGTAATAGTAATAATAATATTGATAATAATAATGTAAAAATTAAGTTAGTACTTTGGCTGCTAGTTAGGACTTGACTTTTGATTTACATTCTTCACGTTTCGAATTGCTGCGGCCGCAATACCTCAAGGAGACTTTCCACTCGTACAAGGCTCTCCTCCTAGCTTTTAGAAAAAGTTTCGTGCTGCGCCTAATCTAGGATATTCTCCTTACAGTTGTGTGATTCGCCTGAGGTACATGTTGTCAGTCAGCATTCCGAATGACCACTCACACTGATCACCATCAACTGTCAGCATCCACCATGTCGACGATGCTCCATCTTAGTCTTCCGGTTTCCCTAAACCCGTTTAATTAGGCCCCTAACATGCAAAAGATGGAATATTGCAGTTTCCATCCATTAATATTTAGGTGAGTTAGTTTCAGTACTGTCTGCGTTATCTCAGCTTTATGGTCATTAATACCTGTGGAAGCTGGATTATCACTCCAGTTAGTTATTTTGCGCAGTAAGAATCAAAGCAACACTAGCTTGGTTTCGTCAAACGGGTGAATTTGTCATTTTATATTAGGGATTTCAGGTGATTATAAATGTTTACTGTTTGACCCTTGGAACAACTGTGATCTCCATATCATGTATCATCAGTTGTTGGTCGAACTAATCTGACATCACTGTGGGTAATATGTGGCTATTCAGGTTTCATCATACTTAGGTCAGCTTCCGCATCACGTTACTTGAACTTTGGTGATAGTGATTTACAACTACACGATGTGTGAAATGGCGCACACTGATCAGGACGGCCTGACTTGGACATGCAGATAAGGTTAGTGTATGTAAACTCTCACATCTTATATTCTTTGAAAGTCGAAAAAGTGTATTGCTGACTGTGGTCATATGACGAGTCAGCGTAGACAAGGAGGTGATTTCCGTGTAAGATTTTATATATTATATAGTCACATCACGGCAATTCTACAGTTACGGAATAGGTCTGTTATTTTAGTCCGATAGAGGAATGAACTAACACTCTACAGAACTTCATACTGCTTGGTTCTTAGGTGTTTATTTTAACTATATAGGTGTCTCTCATGAATTTCTATGTTTCATGTCCAAACCTGATTTAAGAGGAACGTTTAAGTGACCATCTCAAGTCTATTTAGCTTCTTCTGTGGCGAGTGCTAAATCCAACTTTATTTTCCACAAGCAGTATATCCATCTCGCGAGATTTTAGCTCTTAAACAATCGACACGTTTAAGCCGTCACGAAACCCATTACAAACACTGCACAGTGTTTGTCGCACTTTTCCTTATCACTAGCCGCCCTACTTTGTAGTGCTCTATCCTCCAACAGTAGAACGAGATGTATCTATTTAAAGCTTTTTGTCAAGCATTTTTGCACTTTAGATTTTAACTATTTAGAAGACTATCTTGTTTCTATTTTTCTTCTTAATGCTCACTCAATGCTCCTTACATCGTAACATCGTTTGTCTGTGAGCTGGGTGAGCTATATACTCTACCCCATTGTATTCATTTCAAAAGCCAGAATAACGTGGTTGAAGTAGGTCTTGGTTCAGATCTTGTTTAGAAACATAGTGGAGCAGAGAAGTGATGATCAAGACAGACAGAATCTTTGACATTCACAGTCAGATTATATATACATATATATATATATATATATATATATATATATATATATATATATATATATCGCATACATAAAGCATGTAAATAAATGTCAGCTTAAAATGCAATGTTCGAATCCTAATTGATTTATTCGGCTTGTCAATAACTACCAAACCTAGGCTGTTAGTAGCTTGGGCTATAGCCCTCATGGTTGCGAGTCTACTTTGGTCGGCATTGGACAGAATCCTTAAAGAATCCTAATGAGAATAATCTGTGGTCGTCTGCGAACTAATTACCGCCAATGTAGCTTTTACAGCACTCGAGGTTAATTCGTTCCTGATCATTCTTCTTATATCTGATAAACGTGAAACAAAGAGCATGGAAGTGTAGATCCACTCGCCACTTGGTGCTACGCGAAGAAGCGTGGTGAGTTTAAAGGGAAATTTTTCGATTTCTTTCCGAAACTTCACCTCGCAGATATAGCATGGTTTCAGGTGAACTCATTTCTTCTCCCCGAGCACAATTCATAGTCTACATACTGACATCTGATCTTAAAAACGTTACTTGCTATTTGACCATAATTAATGATTAGAGAATTAGGATGCCGTAGCATAGAAGCTGTCATGAAGACATGAACGTATCCATCGTCTGCAGATACTCAAATCTTTGTGAGCTGAATACTTACGTGACCGACGTTAAAACACGTCCTCTTCCTATTGGAGGACCTATTGGTAATTTAATGTATTTGATGGACATTCTCGACCAAGAAAGGATCTTCTGTTAACAAATGAGGATTTTCCACCTTTACTCTAGTCAACGGATTAACGCACATGCTCAATCAGCCCAGAGCTGCAAATGGCTGCGACAAGTTGCTCATAGAACCAACCTGTAGGAGCTGTGCTAATTTAGATTGAGACTTAGAGATGAAGCGTCAGAACTGCCAACTAAGGGTTTCTAATCAAACCTCAGAATTTGTAGTCAATTTATCTTTCTGTCCGGTAGGTAAATCCCTTCATTCACAGGTTTTGTACCAGTTGTGTTATAGCAACACCAGTATGGTAATTTTACATCATTCAGTTGGGTACCGTGTAGTTTTTCGGATTTGGAATGACTGTTTATATATATAGCAACTCTGCCTCCTGTCTGGTTTACCCTATCGCACCGGAAGTGTGTCATGCCTTGAAGTCTCACTTCTTCGTCTGCAATGTCAGGGGATAGCTATGCTTCATCTAGGATCATAATCCTCAGGTCCATCTGAGAGCAATTATTCTTGACTTCTAACAGCTTACCCCTTGGTCCTCTTATATTACTATAGAGGCGCTCAATGAGCTGTCAGATTTTCAAACAAGCTGTTCGAACCGAGTTGGCCAGTTCTTTGGAAACTGGCTCATGCAGCTTTTTGCTAGCGTAGCGAGTTGAATCGGTGAAACCTTCATCTTCGCGTGGGGGAGGGTTGTTGATTTAGGTCAAGTCTAATTAGTGAGCGCTAATTTTGGCCAACTTGTTGTTGCCTAACAGATCTAGGTCGGCTCTCGTGAGACCTAATGTGACTATAGAGACCGTTCTTCATGCTTTGCCAAGCCTGAAGCGCCTCAGCCAGGTCTTCCTGCTCGGGCAACTCCTCGTACTGATCATCTTTTATCGTGCCTGATTCAGATAGGAGAGGACAGTTACCTGAAGACTTCTTCGGTGACGGTTTTTATCTCTCTGCATTTTTCTGAAGACCGTCCTAATATCCAGTAAGCTACTCAATGAAATAAATTAGTGAATTCTGTGGCGTTTGAGGAGCTGTGCTTTTGCTGTTATCCTATCAAACACACACTACAACGTCCCGTTAAGAGATACTGTAAAGTTGAAAACAACTAGTAGTTTCTTTGGTGTATTACCTCTGGTGGCGGCTACCTTTGTTACCTGAATGGTCGATTTTTCGCCTCTGCACGAAGTTTTACTGTAGAGGTGCCTGCAGCTTCACCCTTGTTTATTTTTTTTGTCTCAGTGATTCTGCACTATGGGAAAATATACCAGAATAACGGACAGGGATGGCTCAGCATGAAACCTTAGGACTGTCTAGGTACTGGAGTATTGCAGCTAAAGGGAACCGATGCACTGTAGAAGTTACATTTAAATACAATGTCACTGGTTTTAACGGATAACGATCAGACAATTCAATTATTCTTGTGTTCTTTCTGTATAGCAGGCTTTGTCGTCTGAGTTCTGGGATGCCTTTATCTCTTATTCCTATTTTGTTTACTGGTTTTACCAGGGATAGGAATCTGGCATAAAGCATCATCCTGGTTTCTTTGTCGAAGATCCAGTGTAGGTGTTTGAGTCTAGTGATACGAAATATGCACATTACTCCAAAGTTCACTATCGAGTGACGTTTTGAGTTGTTGCAAAATCTTTTTGCTGAAAACCTGGATATTGGAATCGCTATCGACCCCGTAATTCAGTTGTCTATTAGCTTTCCGAGTTGCGTTTTTGTAAGAAATAGTAGTGTAAGAACTATAAATGAATAAGTCACTTCATATATTCAATACCGTTAGATAAGGTGAATAAATTTTACTGGCTACACTGGGTTTGAAGTATTTCTCGCCCTTCTGGCGGCCCGCGATCTTAATCTAATTGACTGAATATGTTGTGAAAGTAATATTCTGTTTATTTTCTGTATGTCACACTTAGGTACACCCCTTTATGAGACAGCAGCAATAAGGAGACTAATGCGGATTAGCTTGGAAGAGTTTATTTCAGGCAATTATTCTCGCAGACAGACAAGAGATTAATAATAATATTTATTCTCAAACAACAATCTGTTACTTGAGGGATTATAACCATACACCACAATATACTACGCGTTATTAGAACTTCGCTCGAATCCAGTAACTTTTCCACCAGCCCTATGTTCGCATGTGAATGATTGTTTATGCCTCTGATGAAGCAACTAGGAACAGGGCAGTTGATTGAGGTAGCTAGAGCTAACACAGTAGTTCCAACTTGGTACGATTATGTCTGCCTGATTTGTTACTTCGACTGTCTACCAATGAAATGAAACAAAATTTGTACCCTTGGAAATGTTTACATTTCCCAATCGGTTGTCAAAAACTGAATCTTTCCTTATTATTGATGAACGCTGAATCTCTTTCACAAGAAAGCAAATGCTACCGAAATAGATGTGGTCGGAATAAAATTCTGCTTAGCGAGCTAAATAAGTATTCCAGTTCAACAGACCAGCCTCAAATTGTTTAAATTCTTAGATTTGACAAAATGCTATAGCAACGTTCGGCCGCCTGACTCTAAATACTGAATATGGATTCATCTGACTTACATCTTGCAATTGATTATGTTGGATCTTGTGGTATTGTTTTGACTCCTGAACAAAAAGCAACACTTCAAACAACCCTGACGATTTTGAAGCATGAAAATAAGTTCTCATACGTGTCATTTTGGGGTATAATTCGAGGAATCAGTGGAGACTATTTTATTGCTCAAGGAATTGGTAAAGATGTACTAAAAGATAAAATTACTCTATATAGGTATAAGATTAACAGTTTTAGCCATTGTTTTATTTTAGTAAAGATTGCGCCACATGGGGGTTGTTACCGGTACCAGGGAAACAAGACATTGAAAAAAGCAAACTCTTCAGAATGAGACTAACGGGAGACCCTTCATTTGAAGCTGAATATGTTGAAGTGAAGCAAGTGCCAGGAGAAGGTGATGAGCTCGCGGAAACCGAAGAACTTGTAATTCCTGTTTAAGTAACGATTGTTATATGATTTAGATAACAATGAAAGAAGAAGATAGACTTGCTGCTATTATTTATCGCATGGAAGAGGATGTTGTTATCGTTCCACGTGGTGCATATTTGCGAATGTACAATGGACAAGTTGTGAAGAACAAGTCATTCGAAGGTACCCAGATGTAGCTACTCATGCAAACATAGGTTTGACAATTGCTGAGGCCTCAAAACAACTATCATACTTTCATTGTCGACTTCCAGTTAGTACGACCATTAGACCACCAACAGAAAGAGCAAATCATGACAAAGCCATAGATTTCTTGGATACTATTGAGGATGATAATCCTAAAGGTGAGAATCTTTTTTCTATCGAGACTAGATATTTTTCTGCATTCGCTTCTGGATGTATTCATGATAATCTACCTGAGATTTTAACATTTTGTTTGCAACCTATTGGGGAGTAGCAATTATCTCATGATCATGTGTCCGATACCAGGACGAAAGAGCCATCTAGTGGTTCCAGGTTTCTAATGGTGGTTTAAAAATGTTTGATTCATGATGTTCGTGTGTAAAAACAATAATCTCCATAACTCTAACTGAAAAATATCTCATGACCGTCACCTGATGATCATTATTCCTCATAACTTCATACTAAACGAAATTCTCCTATTAGAACTATTCAAGACTAAAACCTCCGATTCATCAACTCTTCACAGTATTATGCATACGTAAAAAAAGCCTATTAGCAAAATATGTTTGATATTTTAGAGTGATATCTTCCATCACATGAAGTTAACATTTGTGTTCAAAATAGGATACATAATCTAGCGAATTGCCAAGTCAGTTGAATAGAAAGACTTGTCTACATATCTTCTGCCTTAGGCTCTTGATTCTCAAAGTTAACTTTTACCTATTACCCATCATTCAAAGAAAGTCTAGATTTCAAAACGTTCACTGTTTCTACGGCTTTATAGAGACTGTGTTTTGTCATAGTGAGTAGTGATGAACAAAAGAGACGATGATTTTACTAGAATCCTGTATGCGCGTTGCTGACACGCAACACACACAGATGGCATTGGATCCCAGAGTCCTAGCTAATGAAGCCTGCTTCCCTATTTGACGCAAGGTTTGAACATTAAAAGCTCCAACATTTAGGTTGGAGCAGGGTTTCAGAATACCAGGAATAATGTTTTGTGATCTCAAAACATTTGCATCAGTGGCGAAGGAATGAAAGAAGGGTTTGTCTTGGAGATGAGAGAGTTATTAGGTGTATGAACGATTCGATTGTGACCGATCTGTTCTCGTGTGCTTTTACGGGGATGAGGGTGGTCGTCACTTCACGACTGCCCACGCTATGGAAGGGCTCTGGTTGTCAGGAGAATCGGCCTCGTGACTTCCGAAGGACCTCAGCTTTCATCATGAGACGCTATAACTCTTATAAATGAAGACCCAAATCCCAGGGCAGAGCTTAAATGGTATGAATTATTTCTCTGTCAGTGTTTTTTTAACGAGTTGGTTTTCTACCGAACGTGGTCTCCAAACAAATATCCAACCCTCCTCCTATATCTAGGGTGGGACTGGCAGTAGACCCGGAGGGGCTCCTGGCGGAAAAAGATATTAGTCTGATCTCCCATTCATAAACATATCGGCTTAGAGTAATTCGAGAACAACTATGTTAAATACCGAAATCTAGTCTTCCAAATGCCTCAAGAAGCTAAGTAAGAATCTTTTGAATGCATTTATATTCCTCTTAATCCAATATGTCGCCTCAAAATTTGTCTATGTTAATACTGTCCCACTCCGACCATAGTCATACACAACGTAGAAACCATTGAGATTACGGCACGAATAAAGTACGTCGAGAAAAATCCCTGTCCATTCAACCAAATTCAGATCTATCCAAGTAATATTTTGGTCGGTATAATGTACATAACATGACAAAATAAAACCTGAGAATTTTATGATGAGTAGTAGGAGAGAATTATTGTCGTTATTATCCAGTTAGTTAACTCTTGTTCCAGCTGAAATAGTACAAATTATAACAAATCGCATAGAATTACTGACCAGTTGTTAGCTCTAGGAGAGATGTAACTTGTAAAAAAGTCATGTTCTCAACGATCAAATATAACAATGGTTGTTACTTTTTTCTTCATATATAAACCAAAGATTTTCAATAAACTATACACAGCTTATACTTTTAAAAGGTTGTTGGGCGATTCAATTTGAACGTGGAAGTAATCTTGTCCTGGTTAAAAGTCTTTTATGGATTGGTTACGTTCTATATCATGTACCAGGTACAAATAAATATGGATCAGTTTATGTTGGAACAGGTGAATATAATATTGACCTGCCTTTTATGATATAATCATACAATATAAATAATAAAAACTGTGGAGAAAAATAAAATAAAATTTTTATTTATATTTTTCTTCATATAAAAAAAACACTTGAATATTTGTATACAAATTATTTTTAGAGAAAAAGATTGATTGTCTGTCTGAAGAAAAAACAAAACTATATAGTTCGTTTGTTCATTTTTTTAATTACTACTACTATTCTCTCTCAATGCATTTGAAAATAAAAACAAAAAGAGACGACAAGCAGACCACAGAAAGATAGATGTTAGTTTAGTTAGCAGAAAACATTATCTATCAAAATATCACAGGAAATGAATAATAAATACTAAGCAAGCAGACACGATTGATGAGTACAGTATGATTATGATTATTATTCATTGATTTTGAAATTGCATAAAAGTTGGTTGGTTTGTCCATAATTGCTGATCTGTTTATTTAATGTTTTGCGACTTTCTTCAGCTGATAATTCATTTAGTATTAATCATACTACTACTTTGAACAGGGTTTTGACTGGCCAAACTTCGGTTTATTAGCTATGAGGGAGAGATGATATACAAGAACAGTTAAAACACAATAAGTTACTTTGAGATTAAGTTTTGAGACGAATATATTATTTTATCAGAACTATGTGATATAATTTTAATCGGGTTAATCAGTCAGATGCAACGTAGAACTTCGTACGTACGTAAGTACATCAGTTCATGTTGCCATACCACATCAGCACAGAAATATAATTGTCAATTCAAATCCAATAGTAGTAGAGGTAGTAAAGGTATTAGAAATAATCGGAGAAGTTAGGATTAGATATTATTCAAGAAGTATGATTTGATGAGCAAAGTTCAGAAAGTCAAAACTAGAGGGGTTGAAGAATCCAGAAGATTAGGATTTGAGAGAACACAAAGAATAAATGCACAGGCGCCATTGCAAACGGTTTTGAGCCAGGTCACTCAGGGTATCTAACCATCGATTATTATCATCTCGCGGACCCCAACCAGGTAGTCGACAACTACCGACGTGGCCCAGTCCACTTGTCAATGACTTCATGGATTTGCGCCACGTTTTGGTCTGGCCACACCTAACTTTCTTCCAACCCACTCCGACACCACAAAACATAGCTTGTCGAGGCAGTCGGTGGTTCAGCATACGCAAAACATGTCCCAACCACCTCAACTGATGAAGTTTCACCACTTCATCTATTGATCTGCCATCCTTACCTAGTACCCGATTCCTAATAACAGCGTCGCTCACTCGGGTGTCCCACAATACACGAGCAATGCTTCGAAGACACGTATGATCGAAAACCAGTAACCTACGAATATCTTCTACTCTCACTGGCCATGTTTCACAGCCATAAAGTACGACAGAGCGAACTACTGCGTAGTACACTCGTCCTTTAGTCAGCAAACGGATATCTCGCCTACGCCATAAGTGACGTAGGTTGGCAAAAGCCAATCGAGCCTTCTGTATCCGAGCTGAGATTTCGTCAGTCAACAGGCCATCGGCACTGATGAGACTCCACAGGTAAGTGGAGCGGTCAACACGCTCGACTACTTCACTCCCTATCACCAGTTCATGTGCCGATGCAACCCATTCTTGAAGCAACATTTTGCATTTCGAGGGGGAAAACCGCATACCGAACATGCTTGCATTGGTGCTTAGGGTAGTCAGAAGACTCTGCATTTTGTCAGCGTCTTCACCACGTAGGACTATGTCATCGGCATATTCTAAGTCAATAAGCGAGCCAGCAGGTAAAAGGTCTACTCGTGCAAATTCAGACGAGGACAAGGTTGTTTCTAGGAGTATGTCTATGATAAAATTAAACAAGAATGGAGAGAGTGGACATCCCTGACGGACACCACTTGAAGTAAAGAATTCCGTTGACAGTTCGCCATAAGCTCTTACTCGACCAGTGGTATTCGAGTAGAGAGCTTGTATAAGGTCGATGTGCTTCTTTGGTACACCTTTAATAGGGTAACAATGAGTAATTTTTCATTAGTGAAGAGAAGCTTGCCTATCAGGTACTTTTATTGAACCATAGGAATAAATTTATTTTTATAAGCATTTAGATATACATCAGCTACCCTACTTGTAGATCATGTTCGTTTACATACGTCTTGGGTTTTTTTGACTAGCAATCAGTAGTAGAACTTCTTATACAGACCAACATATCCTTACTAAAAAATCAGGGTCTAAGTTTGGCCAAAAATCCAGACAGTATGTATCCCAGTCAGTCAGTTAGAACGTAAAACTTCGTACGTAAGTACATAAGTTCAGGTTGCCATGCCACATTAGGACAAAGAGATGCAGTTGTCAATCCAATTCTCATAGTAATAGAGGTAGCAGAAGTATAAACCAGTAATCACAGAGACAAGGGTTCGAAGATATTATTCAAGAAGGGTTATTCAGTGAAATATATTTAGAAATAGGAAGATAGAGGTGATGAGGAATTCAGATTAGAATGCGAGAGAAAACAAAGAGTAGGTGCATCTGCGCCATTGCAAACGATTTCGAGCCATATTATTCAAGGACTCTAACCACTAGTTATTTTCATTTCATGGACGCCAACCAGGTAGTTTACATATACCAACATGATTCAGTCCACTTGTCAGTGACTTCATGGGTTTTGCCATGTTTTGGTATGGCCGCCCCTAGCTTCCTTCCAGCGTACTCCCACATCAAACAACATTGCTCGTCGAGGCAGTCAGTGTTTGGCATACGTCGTAACACATGTCCCAACTATTTCAATTGACGAAATTACAATACTTCATCTATTGACCTGCCATCCTTACCCACGACCCGTTTCCAAACAACAGCAGCGCTTACTCGGTGGTCTCAGGATATACGAGCAATGCTTCGAAGACATCCATGATCAAGTGCTAGTAACCTACGAATATCTTCTACTCTGACTGGCCATGTGTCGCATCAATAAAGCAGGACAGAGTAAACCACTGCGCAATAGACTCATCCTTTGGTTAGCAAACCGATAGATCTCCTAAGCAAGTGGGTCGGTAAGGTGTGTATATCAATCAACAGGTAGTTTGAGTGACTACAGTACATTACCAATTGATCATTTGTGATAAAAAAAAAAGTGCTCTCAAATATAAGCATAAAACAAAGAATAGAGTGCAGATATAATCAAACACTGGTTTTTATCATCTAGCCTACTATTTTTTTCGCTACTCTCTAAATACATCGCAAACGATTTCTAACTATTCACAAGAAAACTGGGGGGATGAAAAGCAAAAAATTGATTTTAGTTGTCTTTAGCTATGAATCATATAAAGTAGCTTCTTTTGAAAGCAGTAATAATAATCATAATAATAATATTGACATCAATAACATGGTTGGAAAAAAACAAAAACACCTTGAGAAAATACTTACAAGTTTTCAAGCTTAAAGCTATCGCTTCTTGTAGTTGCTTGTCCGACATATCGTTGTATTCCTACAAGATAAAAAAAATTAGCAAGACTTTGTATGTCAGTTGTTAGTGAGTAACATTTATTTAAGTAGATAATAGGAAAGACATTCATTATTCTAACCTAATGGCTTCTTCATACATACTTGGGGTCGGTGGAAACTGATAGCGCGTCACTAGCTACAAAAGAAAATTACTAAACGATTTGAATCAGAAATTAGTTTAGCTAAAATATAGTATTTAAAATATTAGCCTCGATAATATTTCAACGCATAACTAAAACTCATAAACAGCAGACTTGAGAAAATAAGCCTGGTTTCAGACCTGGATATGGCTGCATGGACCGAATATTGACACTTCAACAAGTCCTAGAGTAGTGAAGCAGAACACAGGTGGGGCAACCGAATTGAATTTAACGAAAATTACAAAGTTAATCAGTAAAATTGGAAAACCATATCGTAAATCGTTAATTTGCAAAATATCAGTTCATCATATCAAACTGGACTGTTACTGTTGCAAAACATCAATCCATTGTCACTATTCATGCGTTTCATACATATTCCACTGTGTTCTAACTCATCCTTTCTTGATCTTCCCCCATCTTCTGCTGCCAGACATTAGGTTGACACTCACGTCATATATTACTTATAAGTAGCTCACACCAAACTAGAACACAGACACATATTTCGCTGTCCGATAAGAGTTGTATTTCTGGACCTTAAGGTGGCACTCGACTCAACTGATCGTGAGGTCATGTGGCAGTGTCTGTTACTGAAAGGTGTGCCAAAGCAATAGGCTAACCTTGCACAAACTCTCTATACTCGAACACTACTAGTCGAGTTAGAGCATACGGCAAACTGTCATCCGAAATGATTACTTCAAGTGGTGTTCGTCGGGGTTGTTCACTTTCCTCATTTCTGTACAACTTCGTCATTGATAAGCTTTTACAGACGATACTTTTATCGTCTGACTTTGAACGACAAAACTTGAAAACGTTTGCAAAAACGTAGGTTCATCCATTCTCTGTCTTCTTTCGAATTCTTATCTTCTGAATTTCTCATGACCGTTTTTCCTGTAAATTTATTTCGTTCGATTATAACTCTCGAATCCTATCTACGAACCCTAATCTTATCCACTACTGATAATACTGTAGTGAAGGAGAACACAGTTGAAGGCAACCGAATTGTATTTAACGAAAATTACAGAGTTACTCAGTAAAATAGGAAAACCATATCGTAAATCGTTAGTTAATTTGCAAATCTTCAATCCATCATCAATCCATTGTCTGACATTTCACTACTCATGCGTTTCATACAAATTCCATTGTGTTCCCACTCTTCCTTTCTTGATCTTCCCCCATCTTCTGCTGCCAGACATTACGTTTACACTCACGTCATATACTACTTATAAGTAGCTCGCACCACAATACTTTTACTACATGAACTACTGTGAGATTTGAATTGACAACTATATCTCTATACTAAGGTGGTACGGCAACCTGAACTGATGCATGTACGTCCACGTACGAAGTTCTACGTTGTAGCTAACTGATTGACTGACTGACAAGGCTGATGAACAGTTTTAAAATGACAGAAAAAAACAAACATTATACTTACACTTGCTGAAGCTTTTAAAGCATGTTGTAATGCTTCATCATCATTTTGCGATGATTGTAAAACACGTTGTAAAGTTTGATCATCATCATCAACATCTGCTTTACTTAGAGCCAATGCAACATCTACATCAGTATCTTTATCTAACTGATGATTTATACTAGTTGTAGATGATTCATTTGAAGTATCTTCTTCAACAACAGGACAAATCTAATTTTAATATTAACAAAAAAAATAGGGGAAATATTCTTTTAGATGCTTGACACTGATGGTATCATAGGTGTCTTAGAAGCATTGCTCGTATATCGTGGGACAATCGAGTGAGCAACGCTGTTATTATTAGGAAACGGGTGCTAGGTAAGAGTGGCAGATCAATAGATGAAGTGGTGAAACTTCATCAATTGAGGTGGTTGGGACATGTGTTACGTATGCCTAACCACCGATTGCCTCGACGGGCTTTGTTTTCTAGTGGAGTTGGTTGGAAAAAAGCTAGGGGCGGCCAGACCAAAACATGGCAGAAATCCATGAAGTCATTGACAAGTGGACTGAGTCATGTCGGTAGTTGTCGACTACCTGGTTAGGGTCCGCGAGATGATAATAATCAATGGTTAGATACCCTGAGTGACATGGCTCAAAACCGTTTTCAATGGCGCCTGTGCATTTATTCTCTGTGTTCTCTCGAATCCTAATCTTATGGAGTCTTCAACACCTCTAGTTTTGTCTTTCTAAACTTATCTCACTGAATCATACTTCTTGAATAATATCTTCTATTCCTAACCTCTCCGATTACTGCTAATACTTCTGCTACCTCTTCTACTATTGGATTTGAATTGACAATTATACCTCTGTGCTGATGTGGTATGGCAACATGAACTGATGTACTTACGTACGTACGAAGTTCTACGTTGCATCTGACTGACTGACACTGATGGTGGTAAGGAAACGAAAACAGTAGTTATCAGAGCCTACTTAAAAGTAATGCATATGCGTGGGAGAATTATTGGCTACAGGTTTTCTATATAAACAGATGTACTTGAAAGTACAGAGAGAATAAGATTTTATCGAATCTAAATTGATTAAAATGTAACAGTCAGAGTAGATACACCACTTAAGATTCTTGAATTCGAATCAAAGTCATTTTATTATGGATTCAACAGTGAGTAGGAAGCTTTTATTGGCTGGTCGAATCGAGAATACATACACAACCTATTCAAAAACATATGTCACCTTCAAAATATTAGGCCAGATTCTCAACGGATAGCTTACATCAGTTTTCATAGAAATTAAGGCCAACTCTCGAGTAGAAGCGTGAGCCCGTTACTACTCTCTTATCATTCCACCTACGTCTGATTATTCAAGCTTTTAACCCACCTTCTTCCTGCAAATAATTCTGGCTACTTGGATTTAGCTGTAGTAAGTGAAGTGATGGATTCAGATCTCGTGGTGAAACGTTTATAAGAGATTCGTGGTACCTAACGTTCAAGTCTATCCATGTACTAAAGTTGACAGATTCAATCAGTCAGTTACAACGTAAAACTTCGTACGTGCGTACATCAGATCAGGTTACCATACTGCGTTAGCACAGAGACGCAATTGTCACGTCTAATCCTATAGTAGCAGAGATAGTGGAAGTATTGGCGATATTGGAGAAAATTAGGGTTTGAAGATATTATTCAAGAAGCATAATTCAGTGAAATAAACTTAAAAAAGATAGAAAGATAAAGGTGATGAGGAATTCAGATTAGAATTTTAGAGAACACAAAGAACAGATGCACCTGCTTCATTGCAAACGGTTTTGAGCCATCTGATTCAAAGTCTCTAACCATCGATTACTATCGTCTCGCGGACCCCAACCAGGTAGTCTACATTTACCAACATGACTCAGTTCACTTGTCAGTGACTTCATGGATTCGTGCCATGTTTTGGTTTGGTCGCCCTTAGCTTTCTTTCAACCTACTCTTACCTCGCAAAAAATAGGAGTACTCATGTATGAAGTTCTACGTTTTAGCTCAACGAGGCAGTTGGTGGTTGGGCTTCCTTAACAGATGCCCAAACCACCTCAAATGATGAATTTCCAATACTTCATCTACTGATCTGCCATCCTTACCTAGTACTCGTTTCCTAACGACAGCATTGCTTACTCGGCTGTCGCAGGATACATGAGCAATGCTTCAAAGACATCGATGATCGAAAATCAAAGTTGACAGATTACCAAGTAACTGCGCCAAAACTAAAACTTCAGAAACGATAAGTCACAGTAACTAACTAAAGAGATAAGAGAAGCTCAATAAAATAACTAACATGACCAACGGAAACATGATGAATTTCTTTATTGTTACACAATGAGCAAACAATTAAAAAAATTCCATATTAAAATTAAAACATACAGATAATATTTCATCCGCTTCACATCGTGGCAATGTACCAGTGATGAAAAATATTGAGTTTCCTTCTTCTTTAAGTTGAGCTAAATAAATTGCTAAATATGTTTCCGATATTAATTTAGGCTTAGAAAGAATTGAATTCAAATTAAACCATTGCTGGCCTAATTTTCTTATTGTAAACCAATGATGTTGATAATGACAAATAAAAGCATTCTGGCTGGCAGGATTTTGTCTAGCAAGTTCTGCTTCTGGACATTGTCTCAAGAAAGGTACAAGTTCTAATGACCATATTTGTAAAGCTGCACTGATAACCTGAAAATATTTTTTAAAAAGACAACAATAACTGAAAGCATAAACAAGTATGCATTTTCAACAGTGCGATTATAGTCATCTGAAACTCATA